TCTTCCTCCGGGACGGTCTTCTCAACAAGGATTTGTGAGGCTCTTCCCTGCACAGTTGTCAGGCATTCCCACGTGGCTTTTCACAATAAAATTCCACCTCTCTTTTCCACTGGTCGCTGAATGAGACATAGGCTGTTGGTGTAGCGAGCAAAATGGTCAGGTTTGAGCTTGTGAAGTATAATTGTGTCCGTGGAGCCCTGCTAGTGTTTTATGTGCGTGCGTTCTAAGTTTGGGTTACCAACTAACTCACATACGCGATTCATTTTGTAATGGGAAATGAGCAGGTTGTGACCAGGACATTCATTTTCTGCCATTTAAATGCAATATAAAATATTCAGAGTACTCATCACATATATATGCTTGTAATTATTTAAAGGGATTTTTAAAAGTTTCTACTGTGAAAACGGAAGAACATTTATTTTTGTCAAGATAGTTCTTCTATATTTGATTCCTGATTTCAAGCCAGTTAAGAGTTAAAATGGAAAATTTCCATTGCTTTTGCTGCTCTAACTCACTGATAAGGGGCCTGGTCTAACATATTAATAACAAAAGTACCGTAGTGTTGCCTAATGTTTTCTAACTTCTCTGCCCATGTTTAATTCATCCTTTTACAAAATTTAGCATAAGCTCCTATATTTAAGTTAGATGAACATGAATCATACATTTCCTTTTTTGGTTATTATTTGATGTTTTAGTGGGATAGAGTCATTCTTAGTTGAATTCAGTAGACTAGGTATTAGGGGATACAAAGATGCAAACATTCAGTTATTACCCTTAAGACCCTTACTGATTCCTGAGAGAATACGCAGGAATATATAAATAGTTGATAATATCAGAGTATAAGCTCTGTGTGAGGTTCAGAGGTGTGTGGAGGTGCAGAAGAGGGGGGGAGGGCAGGCAAGCAGAGGCATCTCACGAGTAGACAGAGTCAGAGAGACAGGAACGTACGTGAGTCGTCTTAGAATGGTGAGTGGTCCCGAAGGAAAGTAGTAGTGAGATTGGAAAAGTAGGTTGTGACCCTGGAGGGGTGATAGGTTTCTGAATACTAAGTTAAGGTGTTAAACTGGATTCTTTTTTTTTAAGATTTTATTTATTGATTTGAGAGAGTGAGCGAGCGCATGAGCAGGGGGAAGGGGCAGAGGGAGAGAGAATCTCAAGGAGACTCCCCGCTGAGCGGGGAGCCCAACGCAGGGCTCGATCCCAGGACCCTAAGATCATGACCTGAGCTGAAGGCAGACGCTTAACAGACTGCGCCACCCAGACACCCCTAAACTGGATTCTTAAAGTACTCAGGAGCCTTTAACTTTGTAGAGGAGAGAACATAAATACAAATTTGGTGGTAGCAATGAAATGGCCACTGAGTCTCCAAGCATTTTAGATCTAGATTAACTGAGCAGGGAGCCTGACATGGGTCTCGATCCCAGGACCCCAAGATCATGACCTGAGCCACCCAGGCACCCCTAGTTTGTTTCTTAGTAGTAGTTCCAGGTTTGGTACTAAACCAGTCACATGTTTCACTTGGTCACCATTTTATTAACATAAGAATGAACTAGGATGGCAAGTTCAGTATGTATCTAGAAGAGAATTTCTCTCCATGAGAAATGAATTGGCCTGACTAGGTATCAAGTCATTTCATTCAAGTTTCTGGCTTCATTAGTTCTCTAGTCAACCAAGAGAGCTAGACTCTAAATAGAAATTGCTATCTGGGGGCGCCTGGGTGGCTCAGTTGGTTAAGCATCTGCCTTCGGCTCAGGTCATCATCCTGGCGTCCTGGGATTGAGTCCCACATCGGGCTCCCTGCTCAGCGGGAGGCCTGCTTCTCCCCCTGCTTGTGCTCTCTTTCCCTCTCTCTGTCAAATAAATAACATCTTTAAAAAATATATCTATAAAAAAAATAGAACTTGCCATCTGTCCAAATAAAAATCAAAAAGGTAAAAATATATATATGTCTTCAAATATAGAACAATTATTGATTCCATTACTTATTTTCTTTTTAGCAAAATCATTTAAAGTTTAATTCCCCTCATTTGTAAGGGATCTTAAGTCTAACAACATACAACATAGTTTTGAGTATAATTTTTAGGCATGTAAGTTTGCTAGAAAAAAATGAAAATTTTATTGATATTTTGGTCTGTTATATCTGTAGGTGTTTACATCATGATCATTTCTGGTATGCCAAATTACTAGTTTTAAATGACTTTTATGTGGATGGCTCAGTCGGTTGAGTGTCTGACTCTTGGTTTTGGCTCAAGTCATGATATGATCACAGGGTCGTGCGATCGGGCTCCGTGCTCAGTGGAGGGTCTGCTTGAGATTCTCTCCCTCTACCTCTCCGTCTGCCTGTCCTCCACTCACCACCACTTGTGTGAGTGTGCTTGTGTGCGCTCTCTCAAAATCTTGTAAAAAATAAATAAATTTTTTTTTTTTATGGAACTTAGCTAATTTTTATAATTTTTTCCCTGTATTTTTTTTTAAGATTTTATTTATTTATTTGACAGAGAGAGAGATAGTGAGAGCAGGAACACAAGCAGAGGGAGTGGGAGAGGGAGAAGCAGGCTTCCTGCCGAGCAGGGAGCCCGATGTGGGACTCGATCCCAGGACCCTGGGACCATGACCTGAGCCGAAGGCAGATGCTTAACAACTGAGCCACCCAGGCGCCCTTTTCCCTGTATTTTTAATAATGAGTTATAAATTACTGTCAAGTGCTAAGTTAGGTATACTTCGTATTTATATTTATATGTAAGTATATAGTATATACTTTGCCCCATTGGACCCTTTTGACAGCTTTGCAAGATGTGAATTGTTAGTCCTTTTTTACAGATGAGATGTCTCACCTCGTTGTAAGGGACAGAGCGGGGTTTCCAAGCCTGTGCTTCAAAGCCCTCCTCCTAATTGGTCCCCGGTACGTTAAGGATAACAACGTAACATGCATGATACTGCAGGAACCAAGTAGCTTAGAGTTAAATGGATTCCATATTAAATTTAATTATTCTAGTTCTTATCACTAATCAAAGTGAAATAGCCTTTTAAATAATCCTATTAGCTATGATAGCCTTTTAAGACCCCGTCAAGCTAGTTATAAAAGAATGAACAGAATACTGCTTCTTCAGGGTCAGTAGTCATAGCTCCGAGACTGAGGCTTCTACTCGTTTTTCCATTTAATGTAATAACAACAACAAAAAAATAACGTAAACAGCAATGAATATAGTAACGTCATTTTGCCGGTTTTCTCCCCACATAAATCCTCTATGTACCATTCATGTCATTATTAAAAATCTTGGATTTAATTCCTCATGGACTGAAATTTGGATTTTGCATATTGTTTTAGGTTAGGCTTTCCATAATCCCATATCACATATATTAACAGTCTTTTGTGGCCCCTGAAGATAGATTCAAAACTGTTATGAACTGCATGATCATCAGCCCTTTGCAGCCCTCCCACGGTTTTACAGTGACCCATCAATATCTGGGAGTACCTGAAATGTCTTTGAAAAGGACTTCTAAACTGTCATCACATTTTTATTTTTCAGTAAAATTTTATTTTCCCCCCAAATCCATGTCTTTAAACCCTAGGCTCTACCAAACATAAGAGGGAGGTTTTTATAGATAGCATAGATATTTGGCCAGATCTCTGGATCAAAGATTACAAACAGGCCAAAATGTGCATCTAATAAACCTAAAACCGCAAGTTGAAATTTGAGGAGTGTGCTTTTAATCGAGGTGCTACAAAAGCTAATTTGGAAAGTCCTGTGGAAATCTAGTGGACACATGAAGGAATTAGACGCGCCGTAATTGTATTTAGCTATTTATGTGAAAGCAGGACTGGAAGGCTGGACAGCTAGTTCGCTCCTTCTCTGCTGCTCCTTCCCCTCCCCACTGGGTGGCTGTGACTTCCACATTTGGGCGTCAGTCTCTTGCTGGACCTTCCCCTCCCCTCCCTCATCTGTGTTAGATGCCACTCTTGAGTTTCCCGAGCACCGCACACCTCACTCCGCCAGGACGTGGTGTCGTTGAAATACGTCTCTGCTCCTACTTTGAGCTCTTTGGCACAAGGACTGTCTTTCATCTTTGTATGCCAGTGTCTGGCACATGTGGTGTTCAGTAAATGGCCAATGTGCTGTTGGAGTTCTCTAAAATCTTTGACCTCTAAAACTTCTCTGTTGTTGGAGAAAACAACCAGTCCTCACTTCTACAACTATGAAGTCTTGGTTCACCTAGCACACTATCAATTCAAAATTATTTTAGTGCAAGAGGGACTCAGTTTGTCCCAGCTGCCCTTCAGTCGCTAGGTGACCTTGGGCAAAGCACTGAGTTAATTTCTGCAGGCTTTGGTCTTGAATCTTTTAAATGAAGGCTTTTACTGGAACATGATCTGCATGTTCCAGTAAAGCTGCCAAGCTCTGTGGCCTAGAGGCACAGTAGAGACCACAGTGGTCTGGTGGGCAGAGCTAAGTCTCTTCCCCACCACCTGGTGACCTGGGCTTACTGAGTATCTGTACAGCTCTGAAGTGACTTGTGAAAATTGATGTATATCATTCGCCAGGGCAAAACAAATGTTCTGCTTAAGTAACTTGGAATCTCAAATTTTAAATTACGTTTGGTATAATTTGTGTTAATCATAATTTGCTATATTCTCATGTGAAAATTGATTATTCACATGTGGTTTATGGGATCATTAGAATATCACATTAGACTAATCACGATGCTCTGTTTCCTCATCATCCTGGTAATAGAATATTTAAAGTATTTTGGAAAATTATATCTTGCAAATGTTTGAAATATAAAAATAAACTCGAGAATTTGAAGTACATTTTAAAGTTGGTCAGTGTATTTTATTTTGCTTCAAGAATGCTTAATAAAGAGTATTAAATAAATGCAAAACAATTTCATTTTAAACTTTCTGACTGTTGAACACTTTTTTTTTTCTCCATGATTGAGGATTCTGATTTTTTTACATTTCTTATTTTTTTTTTTTTTTTTTGGACCTTATGTACTTTCAGCTCACTTAGAGGCTAGCTTTGAGGAAGTCGAAAACGACCTGTTGAATCTGGAGGATTTATGTGGACAGTGTGAATTAGAAAGATACAAACATATGCAGTCCCAACAATTGGAAAATCACAAGAAAAATAAGAGGTGAGTTTGAAAAATTGGTCAACAGTATTCATTTTACATGCTGTTCTTTATAAGTTTGGGCCGATAAAAGATAAACGGTTGCAACATGTGAAGCTCATTCATAAGCTTTCCAGAACATGACCTTGAGATACATCTATATTTTGGTACCGCTGTGTGTTGCCATTTTATGGAGATGAGCTCTGTAAAGCTGAGCCTGGGATAAAAGATGGAGGGGAGCAGAGCGACAGCCAAAGCTCTCCCAGAAAGCAGGGGCCCTGACCTCATTGTCTCCAAGTGGCATATCCTGAACTGCTTTTTTCCTTTTCTTTCTTTTCTCCTCCTTTATTATTAGAGCAGGAAGAAAAGGAACCTGAGCCCAGGCTGGGGAAACAGGCTCGTGGGGTTTGAATCTCAGCTTTGTCACGTACTGTCTGTGAGGCCGTAAGCAAGTTACTTGCTCTCTCTTAGCCTGTGTCTCTAGCCGATAGGATGATACTATACCCACTTCATAGGGTTGTTGTGAGGATTAAATGAGGTAAGAGCTATCAGGCACAAAAAGTGCTCTGTAAGTATTAGTTATAATCGTGACTGTTGTCATGGAGCCGATAGGAGCTGCACGCAGAAGAGAAGCCCAAGGGTGACAGTTTGTGGGACCAGCTGCAGCATCCCAGCTCATGCAGTGCCCCCTCAGGCAGGCTTGGAATTCCGGTCCACGGGGCAGGGTCCACGGTAGCTGATGAGAGTGCCTGAGACAGTCCGTGGTCTGCCCCGCGCAGAGCAGGGAGGGGAGCCGTGAGGGGGGTTTGTGATAGTGCAAGAAAACCCAGGTCGTGGGATTGGAGTTGGGCTTAGGCCTGAGAGCAGATTTGGAGGGGGAGGAAGAAAGATCGGCTAGGCAGAGTATCCTATTGGTTTTAAGTGTTCTCATCGAGGGAGTGGCAGTATGGGAGGACTGGGTTGTTGACACGGACAGGAAGTGCTGGTCCCTGGCATACAGGAGGAAAAAAAGTGAAGCTAATATGTAGGTATTGTAGATTATCACACTGACATCATAGTTTTCTAGAATAATGCCAAAGGATGGGGCGGAGATGAAACTGAGTATTCTGAAATTTTGGATCAGCTCCATGTGTTTCTAGGACTGGGTCTTAAATGTTAATGAGCCGGGCGCCTGGGTGGCTCAGTTGGTTAAGCGACTGCCTTCGGCTCAGGTCATGATCCCGGAGTCCCGGGATCGAGTCCCACATCAGGCTCCCTGCTCAGCAAAGGAGCCTGCTTCTCCCTCTGACCCTCCACCCTCTCATGTACTCTCTCTCTCTCATTCTCTCTCTCTCAAATAAATAAATAAATCTTAAAAAAAAAAAAAGAGTCAACCATAAGAATCACCTGGGTAGTGTTTCACATGCAAACACCTGGGCTCCATCACTGGACAGCCCCAATTCCCAAGCTAATTCCAGTGGTTTTGCTGTAGACAAGCATTCCAGGAGTTTCCGACACGGGCAGTTCAGGGAGAGACCCTTTAAGAGACGGCCAGGTGGGGGTGGGATTGGGTGGTGTGCAGGCTCTACATGGAAGAGCTTCAAAAGGAGCCCCAAGGGGGCTGTGGATAAAATTGTCTGCAGAAGTTTGTAAGTATGTGAGTTTTTCTGGAGGTGCTTTCTGTAAATTGCATTTGCCTACAGAGATTACAGGACGGTATGTGGCAGCATTAAGAATGGAGTCCTTGTTAAAGAACGAGTGGGTGAGTGCTGGAACCCAGGGGGTTTCAGACTGAATCATGGGGCATGAGAGATGAAGAACTTTCTCTCCAGAAGAGAAGAGAACAACGCAAGATTAGCAGAGTTAGAGATGGTTGAGTTAGAGATGTTTTGGCTAGTCTGCAATTTTAAATGAAAAAGTAGGGAAATACTCTGTTGTGAAATCGTGTTAATCATGTAAGTTTATTTATAATACAGTAGGTTTCAAGGAGCACAGTAGGAAGGCTTAGAATGGCAAATTGGGAAATTTTTGTAGGAAATTGGGCAGTGTGGGTACAGGTCATGTGAACCCTAGAAGTTTCGTGGTTTCCTCATCTGTAAAATGGAGATAATAAAAGACCTTTTAGGGTTATGTTAAGGATTCAGTTGGTAAAGTGCTTAGAATAATGCTCAGGACATGGTGCATGCAACGTCAGGTGACCAGCACTGGCTGACTTGTATGCTTACTTGTACGGCCGAGTCGACGGGTATTCCATATTTGTACCAGTTATGTTTTCTAGCTGGTTGAGCATACGAATTATAGGAATATTGCGGTTTTTCTATCCATATGCGTTAATATTGATTATTTGAAACAGGGTGTAAAAATAAATTTCAGGTTTTCATAAGCTAAGATGATTAGATAGAAAAAAGTAATAAGATTTGGAACTATGAGGTTTTATATCTTTTCATTTTCACCCAGTGACTTAAATATATTCTAATTAATGCATTATAATTTATATGTTATAAAATGAAAATTAATTTTAGTGTTTGGAGAGCAGCATTGCCCATAATTTAAGTGAAAGCCAAATGTACTGAACGGGTCTTAATATGTTTCACATAATTGAAATGACAGAGTATTTGTCCTTTAAGAGTTAGAATTATGTAGTAGAAAGAGTGTGTACTTAGAGTCAGAAGACCCAAGGCCTGGCTCCCTCGGTTACTGACTTGGGCGTTAGGCCTTACTGACGACGTGAACAGTTGATGCGGTTAGTGACGCGGGCGTCAGGCCTTACGACGTGAACAGCTGACTAACACGTACTTTGTATGTCGTATGTACCAATACAGTAAGCTACAGAAAAACGTTACTAAGAAAATCATAAGGGAAAATACATTTACAGTACTATACTGTATTTATCAAAGAAAAATCTGCATATAAGTGGGCCCATGCCGTTCAAACTTGTGTTGTTTAACGGTTAACCGAATATTGAAACAGAGGGGTTCAGTGAAAGTCTGCATATCGCACAGTAGGGCTGTTTGGCCATTTTCCTCCCTGGCTCCCAGAAGTCTGGCAGCCAAACTTACACCCCTGTGGCTCATCTGAGAAATTGACAGCCCAGAAGAAAACACCTGTCCATGTGAATGTTTGGAGGACTGCTCTGATGAAAGAGCAGGGTCTGCGTCTTTGCACCCTGCATGCTGAGCTCCACACTTGTGTACATGACTTCTAATCAGCTTTGTGGTGCCTCACTCTTAAATATGAATGGAGAGCTGAGGAACAATAGCCAATGGAGGAAAGCTTCCAGAGTGAAAGGGACCAAAATAAATAGAAAATAAACTAATAATAATTAAAAAAACACACACAGGTATGAGAGGCTATGAGGGGAACAGAAGGAAATTTACAAACAAGTCATAATATACGAGGCCACCTTCTAAGAGACCATTTTGCATTTATGAGACATGAATAGGAGGCTGCAGAAAAGAAATAATAAGAGACAAGAAAGAGCTCTTAGAAATAAAACATATAGCAGAAATAGTAAATTTCAACCGAAGCATTGGGAGATCATGTTTGGCCTCTATATAAGAGAGCACAGAGGTAAGAAAAGCTAAGAATGTTGAGAAACTTAGAGAATTCATTCCTGAGTCTCATATCTGACTGCTGGAAGCTTCAGAAAGAAAGGGGGGGAAAAGGCAAATTTATTAAAGAACTAATACAAGATAACTGTTCAGAATTGAATGATATGAATAAGTTTGAAAGGGCCCACCAAGTACTGGACAAAATGAGTGGGAAAAGATCCATTGTCAATGCATATTTTTATAAATTTCACTACACTAGGAATAGAGGTCATAAAAGTCTTCAGAAAAATCTTAAGGATCAGGAATCAAAAGGAACGTGAGCTTTTCAGCAGCACCGTTAGAACTGGAGAATGATTTTCACTTTTTATTTACTTAGCAACATTTTCATCAAGTGGGAGGAAATGGTCATTTCCAGGCGTACAGGGGCTCAAATTTCACTCAGGCACACACTGTATCAGGGAACTGCGGGAGGATATGGTCCACCGACAAGGGAGTAAACCAAGGAGAAGGAAGAACGGACACAGAAGAGACATGAATTGCAGTGAGGATCCATCCAGTTCAGAAGAGAAACAACGGGAATGCTCAGGGGGATGGTAAAGAGAAGTTTGAACAGGCCTGGCAAGCGGTCCAGACTGAAGAAGGAAGACCTTCTGGAGGATTGCAAGAGCAATGTTTCCAAGGGAAGAAAATGAAGCTAATAGGTTGTCTGATAAGCTTGATCATATTGAGAGTTTTATAAGCTCTGACGGCAAGTCTTTGGTGATAGGTACAATGTTTTAAAAATGGGCCAAACAAGGCAACTCTTAACACTAGGGGAAAACACAGTTTTACAAAAAGAGAAATAAAACATGATATGACTCAGTTACAAACAGTATTTATAGAACTCTGTAATCGCTAACGTGGAGTTAGGCCGGAATTGTGCTATAACTTACTGGAAAGATAGTGGAGAAGCTTGCTGTATTGCAGGCTACAAGAGAGGGAGTGAAGAAAGCTCATCCTCGACTTCCACAGCAGGAGATCAATATGTAATATTTAAAACAGAACAAAATGAATAATTATCAGTGTTGGCACATTAGAATAGAAATAATGGAGGTAAATACCAGAAATAGCCAAAAGAATGGAATGTGGCTTCTTGTAAAAAGCGGGCCAGGAAGGTGGACAGAGCCGGGGCAGGGAACTCTGATCCTCATCATAAATAAACCCTCTGGGCACTAGTTGACTTAAGGAATGTACATGCATTATTTTGACAAATACAGAGATTGAATTTAAAAACAGTCTAGACTGAGAAGATTGCCACTGACAAAACCGTCCATGATCAAATAAGTTCCAGGAACGCTCTGTCCTGTGTTTGCCTTGTGGAGCTTTGTGGTACATGTCAGTGCATTCCAAGTTCTGGGAATTCCTATAGTAAAGAAATTTGACTCAGCATCTCACAGCTTGCTTGCTCACAAACCAATCTGTGTGTAATACACAAAAAAATTCTGTGACTTGGTA